GACAAAATTTTATTTAGGAAAATTCGGAAGCATCGAGGAACATCTCTAAGAAAGAGTTCCGAAATGCCTAAATAGTTATTACGTAAAATAAAAAAATCCAAAATACAGAATGAAAAATTTATTTTGGCGAGCACTATTTTGATTGCGACAATTTATTCCTTTTTTTTTTTCATTGTATCGTTTATAATTTTACAACTTCAAGTTAAAATCGAAAATAAATTCAGTAAAAATTATTCTAGAACGTCGGCAAACATTTGTAAGAAAAAGTTCCAAAATATAATAATAACATGGTATACCCATATTATTAGTTTAGCAACACTGAAAACAATTTAGGCAAGCACGAATTTAAAGCGGTATTTTTTTACATTTTTTATTATTATTTCCCTCACTCGTTATTTTCATTAAGTTATAAACAGAGCTCAAAATATAAAAAACTTTAGAAAAAGAATTCGGGGGAGTAGGCGAACGTTTCTAAGAATTAATTTTTTAATGCTATCTAGTTATTAACTTGCATATAAATTGTGTGTCAAGATTCACGCAAGATTTGATAAGAGAGAACTTGATAAGATAGGAGATAGGATTTGATAAGAGTTGATTTGAAGAATTATTGGAAAATTTAAGGAGACTGGATCAATTTGGGGCACTCAACACACTGGCCGTCCAATGCACGTGTGTTTCAATATGTGTAATGAACATAACGTTGCAACGGTGCGACATGTATTCCAACCCGTGAATCAATCCAATTACTGCCTCAGACATTTTCTTGGTGACGTATTCTTTCGTTTTGATGGTCAGAATTGACCCTCTAAATCATGTGATTTAACACCATTGGATTCCTTTCTAATTTGAAGTCAAAAGTCTATGTCAACAAGCCACCCGAGAAGAAATTCAAAGCTGTATTTAGACGCATTTATTGAAACTGGTCCCGGAAATTTCGATAAAAGAGTGCGTAAGTGCCAGCAAAGCTGTAGAACTCATTTGCCCAATGCGCTATTCAATATATAATCCTATCCTATATACTTTATGTTTCATTAAAAAAAAAATATTCAAATTAGAAAGAAGAAAAAAAAATTTTATATTAAAAACTTTTGAACACCCTTTATATGAAAATATAGAAAAAGAAAAACATTTTTACAAGCATAATGTAGTATTTTATCCACTCATTTTTTTTACTTCGATTATTTTTACTCAATTCATACCTTTAGAATTTTAAGACAAGAGTTTAAAATAAGATTAAAGGGCAAATATTAACAATGGCGTTTATTAGAATTTCTAAGCTAGTTTTAATTTTTGCTCATAGAATTAGTTCTTTTATTTAAAATAATGAATAAATTATTTGCATTAGTTAAGCTCCGGGAATATAAACTTCTTATATTAATGGACTATAATACAGAAAAAGCATACAATAATAAACACAAATTGAAGGACTTCTCACCCTTGCATTTTCTTGTTAATGCAGCCATTCCCGATTTTTCCTGACCGAGTGAAAAAGAAGCAAAATGGATGATAAAACAACTGATACTGGGATTCATTTTAGAAACTTATAATCAAAAAGAAAATAAACCATAGCGTTCTTTTTTTTTTCTTTTTTTTTTTTAACAAATGGAGAGTCAACACTGGAATAAGGTCAGATTATTTTACGGTAAAAACTAAATATGTAAAAAATTTCGAAAAATATTATACAATAAATTTAGTACAATAAAATGAGTTGAAAAGATTTTTAAAAAAAAATGGAACAGAACATCGAAAACTGAGTACCAAACACACTTACCCAATACCTACAGCATCCACATAAACATTTAAAAGATGAAAATTAAACGAATAATACCAAAACTTATTACTCACGCTGACACGTATGACTTGCAAGAGACTATTAAACGACACCCACCACACAAAAACACTACTTTTTTTTCCCTTTCTATTTTTCAAACTAGAGTCAGCAAATCTAATTTCATTTTTCGTTGCTATTTCCGCACCAAAAGAGAGCAGAAAATAGACGCAAAAAACCTAATATATTTCCCTAAAAGTATTAAAATGGAATCTGAAAATAGAAGAAGATATTTTGGAGTGTTTTATGATATCATTCGGCGAGCTCTTTTGAAATCCCACATTCGTCAAATCGCATCCCGAACAAGTCATCCTCAGGTGGGGTCAAGGAACCGTTAAATTGTCGACGAAAGAGAGGCATTGTGCCAGGGTACATTATATATTTTTGCTTCATCCCCCCCCCCCTTGGTAGATAAAGGTGGTGAAAATCATTTCCAATGATTCCTCCCTCCCTTTAAAAAAAGATAGGCAAAACTTTAACATGGTTTCTCGAAGCACTTTCGCCAAGGAAAATAAAAAAGCCACAGTTTAAGTGCCTTACACTTAAAGCAGAGCTATAATTTTAAACAATATATGCCATCCGGTTATAAAGAATTATATGGGCTTTAGAGCGGACAAAGATCTAAAACATTTAAAAAGTTATTAAACTTTTTTTTAAAAATTAGCAATTTAGTAACATTTTTTCATCTAGATGAACATTACCAAAATCAATGCCTTATTCCCATTTTTTACAAATTTTTATGAGACCACTTTATGCAGTAATGGAATAAGTTTTTAAATATTAAAAAACTAGACCAACCATTTTTATTTCCTTAAAACTGTGGCTTTTCTCCATATTGACGTTTCGCGCCATTTTCAGAATTGACATAGAGAGAGCTGGCTAAAGATAGGCTAAACTTGTCCTAACAGTCATGAACAACTATTGCTAACTCACATCATTAATGAAAATAGCATATTATTCTGAAAAGCTTCATCATCTAAACATAAACACATTGGAGATTGTCTTTGTTCTTTTTAAAGCACGCTCTAATAAAAAAAAAATGACAAAAGGCGCTGGAAAAAGATGAAGAAACCGCCAATTGAAAAATTGGAATACGAATTTCTAGTCCAAAATATATCTTCAGTAGTGATATAATGGCGTAGAAATGTATCATTTATAAAGAGAAAACGGACATGATTACAATCTTACAAAAAATTTCAGAATTTGGAAAAAAAAAAAAAAAAAAAAAAAAAAAAAAAAAAATANAAAAAAAAAAAAAAAAAAAAAAAAAAAAAAAAAAAAAAAAAAAAAAAAAAAAAAAGCATTTTTTCTTAAAGTAAGTATTTTAAATTCATCTCATTGCGTTACTTTCCTTGCATTAAAAAATCCATGCTATTAAATTTAAAGGGGAGGGCTTTTCACTAGTTTTTTTTTTTTTACCTGAGAAAATAAAGACTCAAAGCTGTCGTCACAAGCATACACCGACAACAAATGCACAAATTATATTCAGACCTGAAAGTTTCAAATTAAATAGTAATGTTAAAATTAAATAGGTCTAAGAGATTTCCCAAACTGGAGTGTCGTAAATCCTTGACGAGTGGAAATCGAACTTGGAAATTTTTGATGAAAATGAACTAAATTTTTAAAAAGTTAAATTTTTTATTCCAACAGGATCATACGCGAATCCAGTTTGCTATTCTAATTCATGTCTTAACGTACTGATGTTACACAACTCTACATCAGTCGCTGAAACTCTTACAAAAGTTGAAACTCTTTCAAAAATCGTTCCAAAATATTTCATTACTATCATCTATTTATTAAAGTTCCTTTTTAATTTTTTATTCAAAGCGAAAAATTGAAAGAGTTTAAGGTGAAGCTCCTAAAATCATATGTTCAGCAATTAATAGTGAGATTTTGCATTTAGGTAAGATTCCGCAAGGTCACGTAAGTCGATTCCGAGCGAGCTTAGTAGACTATCAAAATTGTTCTGTAGAAAGCAACTGCGCTGAGCAAACCCTATGTAAGTGAGAACGCTAAATCTCTGCAATGACTTGGTTAACTACCACTAACTTAACTTAACATTTAAATAACATAAAGCTGAAATAATTCGCGAGACAGCTTCACACATCAGTAACTTTTATTTTCCATATTTTATGTGTATATACAAGCAAAGTCACAACAATGCCTTAAATATCACATAAGTTTTAAAATCTTAATACTAAATAGCAGACTAAAATGAAATAATAGGGGATTAGTTTAAAATTAAATTTTAAAAAATTAAATCATCTGAATTAGATAAAAAATACAAAAACCTAGAATTCTTTAATTTTAAAATACCGTATCGTATACTAATAATAAAAATATACCGTAAAATTTGATTTATACTAAGCAGACTGATTTTTAAACTTATACTTTCTCAACCCTTTGACGGAGAGACAAAAAAAAGTTTGCATACACTTAAATTTACATAATATGACAAGCAAAATAGTACTGAACTTAAAGCTAATTTACAATTGACGTTTTCACTGAAACAATCAATAATTTTTTTTTTTATTTACTTGATTTTCAAAACATGCAAATTAAATATCCAATTTAATGAAAATATAGAAACCAAAAATTTGCATAAACTTATAAAAACAATCTAAAAATTTATAAAGACGATCGTAAATTTAAACCATGACATACGTTTAATTCTTCGTGTATTATTACGTATTTATTTATTTCGTATTGACTTATTTCTATGTTAGTTTCTTAAACGAGAAACAAAATTACTATTTTATTTTTAACTTTAGAATGAAGAGGCATTTTAAATATTATAACAATAGATTTTTTTTTTTTTTTTTTTTTTTTTTTTTTTTTTTNTTTTTTTTTTTTTTTTTTTTTTTTTTTTTTTTTTTTTTTTTTTTTTTTTTTTTTTTTTACGAATTGATAGATGTTTATATTTATTTACACTCAGTTATTTAAGTTCTGAAAATTTAAAAAAAAAAAAAATTTAAAGCTAAATTTTATAATCTACGATCTACAAATAAGTTTAAATATCAACCACTACATAATAATTAGAACTGATCAATGAACCTATTTTTTAACCTGAACCGAATTCCAAAAGTAAATATTTTCGGACATACACATGCAAATTTTTAAAGAAATCAATCATAAACATGTAAAGATTGTAATTTAAATATTCAGCACGTACCTAGTTATGTAAGTAAAAACAATTTCGGTATATCCCGAAGCGATCTAATGTAAGTCGGTAAATTTAGTAGGAGAAATTAACCGAGTCCCCCACGTTGATTAAGTACAATGTCGCTCGCGTCCTCGGCAGATTTCCAAACGCAGCAACTTCCCGTCATAGTGAATCACCGCGAATGATTACCTCTGGCGCGATCTTCATCGGAGATAGCAAGAAAAACTCGCCAAATGAGAAACAGTGCAACACATCTCTCTTGTTTTACACAATATCATTTAGTTAAATATAACACTCTTGTTGTTTTATAACAAGCACGGAGTTAATTAGCCTTTTTCAATATAAAAAAAAAAATCTTTGTTTCGTTTCATTTATACTAAGTTTAAAAATATTTTGTTACTTGCAGTTCAGGTCAGAGCTGTGGCATTGGTAGTTGAAATGTTTAAGACTCCGACTTCTACCTGTTTAAAATTTTCATAATTGAAGAATTAAATTTAAAAATATATTAATTGTACAAAATATAAATGTTGTCAATATTATTTTAGGAATAGATATATAGACTGAACCTTAAAAAAACATCAGTGTAGGGTACACCAGGCAAATGTATACCGGGCAGTGGCACTTAACTAGACCTTGTATGTATTTCGGATATTTACCAAAGGTCTAGTCATACTAGGTCCAGTTAAGTGCCACTGCCCGGTATACATTTGCCCGGTATATCCTACACTGATGCCTTTTTAAGGTCAAGTGCCATTGCCCGGCATATATTTGCCCGGTATACCCTACACTGATTTTTTTTAAGGTCAAGTGCCACTGCCCGGTATACATTAGCCCGATACTCCAAACACTGATGTTTCTTCTAATCTATCGTCAGTAAATATTAAAATATCGAATAAATTAATATCAAATCGAATGTAATAAAGATTTCGGACATTCACCAAAGCGACTATGTGATTGTCAACATTCACCGGTGAAAGTCAACAACCACCGATTTCGGTCATTCACAGTAACATGCACATCATTTACATAATAACCTCATCAGGACCTTTTTTTCATACTTTGCCTAAATAGCATCCGGTATTATATATAATGCCTAGGCATTATATATAATGCTTAAGGAAAGTATGTAATACCGTCTCATATTTCATAATTTGCTTAAAAACGTCAGGCATTATATATAATGCCGGCAACATATATAGAAATAAATGCTATGCAAAAATTAATTGAAAAATTATTTACAGTAAACATTTTATGTTTTCTTGACGAATTTATCCTCATATTGCGCAGTTTATAATAAAACGGCGGCTACAGGATTAATCTTTCTAATATTTATAAGGAAACGAATAAAAATTATTTTAGATTAAAATAATCAGCAAACGGCAAACAATTAGACATTATATTAAAATCATTTAGATAATAGTATAGGGTTATGGTTCACTTCTTAGTCTAAAGCTATTGGAGTTTCACAACGGGTGCGGAAAAATTTCGCCACAAATCAAAGTATCCCAAAGAGGAAAAAAATAAATTTAGCATTACTGTTGACGCAAAAACTCTCAATTACAAAATCAAAATATCGCTATCAGACTAAAAACATCGACAGAATATCGCGTTTAATATTTAAGAAGCTATACACATCACGTAGCATACAATGCCTAACATCAGTGTTTGTATTTCATTTTATGAACACTGGGCAAATATTATATTACTTGTAACTTCTATATGCAAGTATTAGGCCTCTTTATTCACTACATCTATTAAATACTTAAAATTGCAAAAAAAAGAAAAAACGATACGAAAGATCCTTAGTATTTCAGAAAAAGATACAATGTACATAATTCGAACGTTAAACGGATTAGTATTAATAGAAATATATATATATATACAGAACAAAACAAAAAATATAAATCCTTATCTTTTTGATACGTCAAAAAATTAAAAGAATTATGTTAATCATTTATTGCTGGCCCAAATTTAATAACGATTCAAAGAAACCGTTCTACAAAACCAATCTATAACATTGCAACTGATACAAAAGAAATATAAATGCATCCATACACAGCCGAAAAATAAACTAAACTCTTTGCTCTTCCATTATGTAAAATAGCAAACCATTCATTGCTGACACAATTTCAATTGATTCAAAGAAAACCGTTCTATGAAACCAATTAATAACATTACAACTAATGCAAAAGAAATTTATATGCATGCATGTACAGCTGAATCCCACAACTCTTTTCTGTCTCGCTAAGTAGAGTACTAAACCAATCATTACTAGTACAAATTTAATAATAATTCTACAAAACTAGTCCATGACGTTAGAACTGATCTAAAAAAGAATAAGTATAGTTATTGACATCAAAGAATATTGGCAAATCTGTGTGTTTTTCTACAAAATTTACGTCATTCGCAATTCTTCTAACCTATTATTTCCATCGAACTGTTGAGGAAATTATCCAGAATTTCATAGCATTGTTCATTTTTTTTTTTTTCAGACGGAAACTTATCTATCAAACACAGTCTCCGAGATGAGGAAGTAAACGCAGCAGCCCTACCTTCCTTAATCTTCTCTTTGCGAAAAAGATTCTCTGACCAATTTACATAACGCCAAAACAAGATATCGATGCCAAATGTAAACGCTATCTTGGCACGAATAAAACGCTTGATTCGCACTTCTTTGCTTTTTCTCCAATTTAGCATCAAGATGATGAGTCACTAAGCCATTGGGCCACCTTCTTTTTAAAGTGTTTCTCTCGTTACCAGTTGAAGGGGGGGGGAAAACAGAAATATGAGCCACTGACTCAGCTTTACAAGAAACTCTTGCCAGAGTCTCACATAGAAATAAATAGTACACATGATTTGATTTCCAATATAGTAATGCCATAAAGACGATATACTTATTAGTCCACCACACTATAATTTATTAACCAGTCAGAACCGATACAGAAAAATCAGCAGCTAATATTAGTTCAAAATTTATACACAGATTTCATAAATCGTACATTCAAGCCCTTTTGCGCTGATGTATGCATTTTTTCTGAAGCTCTAAGTTCAAGTAAAAATATATTTTGGCATTTGGCATTTAATTATAAAAAACAGTCTAGTAGTTAGTAAAAAAAAATCTGTTAGGTTATCGGAACTATTTTTGAAATAAAATATAATATCAAAAAAAGAAAAAAAAGAAAAAAACTTGGAAAAAAAACATTTTTTTTTCTTCTTTCATATTCAAAAAATCTAATTTTGTAATTTAAAGCAATTTTAATGATGAATAACTGTTTCTCTTTGATCTAAATATCTTCAAATAAGTACAAAATTAACAAATTATTGTTTGGAAGTGAGCTGTACTTGAAACATTTTACCTTTAACGCAGAAAAAGACATGTTTCATGCTATACTTCTTAACCATTAAAATGCTAAATATATCACTTTTTTTTAATACTTATTTCGGCTTAAATTAATACAAAATAATGAAAAAAGTAATAAAATTGCTAAATAAAAAGTCTGCGTTAAAAGGTTAATGAGTTTAAACATTTTTATACACTGGGTCTTCATAATAAATACTGTAATATTTATTTTGCAGTACAGCATAACATAGCTATAAAATATATAATATATAAAAATTAATATACTAATACTACAAAGAAAAACTTTAATTCTATAATTATTTTAACAAAATATTTTTCTCGAAAAATTATTTTGAAGTTCAGGGGGAAAAAAAATGCTAATTTTAAATTTTAATAAACTGTATTTTTTACTGTTTATAACTATGAAAACAATTCGAAATTTAATATTCAAATATCGTTTAATGCTTTTAAAAAACGATGCAAACCTAAAAAAGAAATATACATACGAAGAAAAACTCTTTATTGTTAAAAAAAATTTATATATGAAAAAAAAAACATTTTAAATCCTTAAGAGAGTTTTTAACCTTTTTCGATCAATAGAGTTTAAAGGTTTATTATACTAAATATGCATTTTATTGTGAGTGAAATTATCTTAAAGGAATGTTAAAATCATATGTTAACGAATTTTCAAACTAGCTATCAGTTGCACATGATAGCTATCGAAAACGCAATCGCTCTCTAAAAAAATAAATCTTTTAATTAATATACAGCAATTTAGATCCCTTCTAATATTTCTAAAGGTTGCAATTTCCAAACAGTATTAAATTGAATGTAGAATATTGTAAATGGTACGAGAGCTGCAACGTAAAATGCGCCAATATCGCGAGTTCTAAGTGAAACGAAAAAACAATAGGAAAAAGGAGGGAAAATAACGTGGAATCCGTAATTCCCTGAAAAATTCCTTATTTAAGTATTAGATAAATTAAGATTTATAGACAATAAATAAAATGCAAATTCATCTAGCTTTCTTTTAAATTCATCTATTTCAAATGAGCACACAAAAATATGGTTTTGAATCACAATTATGATATATATTTTTTAAAGTTATAAAGATAAGTTGAAGTGGTCTTTTTTTTTAATCAGTTTCAAAGTGTAATCTGAATACATAGTTAATCAATTAAATAGATAAAAAAAATCCTAAAAATACTTCAAAGACACTGTAATCTATTAATCATAAATAAAATATGAGATGGCGCTGAGTCATTCTCATGGCTATAAAATTATTAGAGAGCAAAAATACTTAACACATTTGCTATATTAGTACCAAATAAAGTATCTTTTTGCCTATTTCCACTGAAATTCACCAACCTCGGACATTTTTCCTAAAACGGGGCTTCATCAAAAATAGACGCAAACGGTGAGTCATCGCGAAAAAAAAGGTCGCTCGATGGTTGATCACGTGAACACCGGCCAACGATTAGATTCCGTGCTCATTTCAAGAGTCAATAATAGACCGACACAGATGATATTTTGAGCTGAAAACAAAAGGAAGGTTTCTGATGAAAGAACGTGAAACCAGCGCAGGAAAAAAATATGATTTTATAAATCATACTATTGATTACCTGGTTTCATTCATTGTTTTGAAATATGTGTTTATCATTTTTTCTTTCTCTCTGTCATTGAGGTCATTTACGCCGAGCAGTAAATAAACCAAAATCAGCCATTTAGTGCAGAAAAAATTTCGAACGATTTCTTAAATTCGAACATCATAAATGGATATATTCTGTTACGGGCACAGGCTTCCCTATCTCTTTCTGTTCATTTCATAAACATACAACATTTTGCATTAGTTCCAATATTACAATGACGTTATCTGTAAGAAAAACGGAAAAAAATAATAATTTAAGTATTTGTCATTTAAATCAACAGGTTGAACATAACTTAGTCCTAGTGCATAACTTAAAAATATAAACTCGGAGATGTCAACTGCTCCGGACACGCCAAAATAATTTTAAAAAAACGGTAAATAACTACAAAGTAAATTTTGCATATATTTGACTATTTTTGCTTGCTTTTTAAAAGAAATAGCATGACATAAATACTATAAAGTGGTGAATTACATAAGCCTACGAATTATTTAGAAATAGTGGTGGATAAAAATCTACTAATTTGAATTTATTAAACCAAGAATCACAATTGATAAACTACCACTTTAAAATACATATTTGCTGTCCGGAGCAAGTTGGCATCTCTGAAAACTTGATCTA